CTTCTGCCCTATTTTCAAAGATCTCTATATAGATATCTACTCCAGTTTGTTCTTATCGTAAATCTTAGCACCAACAGTTTCTGTACCTTGTTACATACTTGGTAATTATTAAGCAACTAGTGTTCTTTCATTAACAAGATAATCACAATTAGCCTACCTTTCTCCAAACACCTTACCCACTCATCTTTAGACCTCTTACTGGGGCATCCATTATTACCCTGAAAACATACTACAACTGTTTGGTACTTTATTTATTTATTTATTTTTAAAAAGATTTTATTTATTTATTTGAGAGAGAGAGAGAATGAGAGACAGAGAGCATGAGAGGGAGGAGAGTCAGAGGGAGAAGCAAGGGAGCCCAATGCGGGACTCTATCTCAGGACTCCAGGATCATTACCCGAGCAGAAGGCAGTCGCTTAACCAACTGAGCCACCCAGGCGCCCCTGTTTCGTTCTTTAATACAAACCACAACTTCCCAGGATTTAGGTTATTTCATGATTTGTTCAAACTACAAATTAAAATAAAACTAACAGTTTTATTTATAAGGAGCAATGCTCTATCTTGGAATCAATTATTCAAAACAATATTCTTAGGTACTGAGGTAATTGATCACATAGTTTACCTTCTAGCAGGAAAAACAGACAACAAACTGGTAAACAAGTTGTCAGATTGGAGTGCTATGAAAAAAAAATTTAAGTGATAAGGGGCAGAGAGGGTTTTTGTGAGGAGGTAGCATCTGCCCTGCAAAGATGAGAATAATATTCCAAGCAATTTTTGGCTGAAGTAGGTTTAACTAGTTATTCTGCTATATATGCATTCATTGTGAATTTTATAACCTTGCACTGCTCCCTCCTGAATGTTCTTTTTCTTAATTTGAAGACTAATTCTATCTTTTAAAAGCTTTTTATTACCTCCTTAATTGGTGTATCCCATAAGTTTAAGAAGCATGCCTTCTAATTTAAACAAGTATTTTATAATATTAGTTCATTCTTTTAGTATATGTTTCTTCCAAATTACCTTTAACAATGTGTGAAAAATAACAATATTTGAAAAAAATTCTTTGTGTTACTGGATAAGTCTACATGAATATTCTAAAAAACAGTAATTTTGTGATTCTTTCAACGTCGAACAGGCTGAAAGCAAACTGGCAGAGTAGGACCCATTCAGAAGATGAGGCTGATGGGAGGATGGAAGACAGAGTTAATTAATGATGGCTTGGTCTAACAGTAATGAAAGCCCAAAAGAGAAGTTAGTTGACAGAGATCACATATGTGAGATGAAGAGGCAAAATCAACTGGCAAAGTTGGAGAGAATCTTTTGCACCATACTAGCTCTTTGAGACATGCTGCCACCACCTGGGCAATAAGAAATTCTAAAGTATGGAAAAATTTTGGTTGTGATAATCAGTTAATTAACAATTACAAAATCAAAAAACATACTTTTATTTTATGAAATCAGCTTTTGACAAGTCTTTGGATATTAAGGAAGAGCAGGGATTTTGGCAAGATGTGTTTAGAATCCTGCTCTACTTTTCAAGTCTCTGATTCCTTATCTGTTAAATGGGTATAAGAGCATTATCATTTGGGGTTGTTTAGTCTCAGGATTAGTAATAATAGATCTGAAGCATCTAGCCCAGTACCTGGTACACAGTAAGTACTCAATAAATAGCTTTTAAGAAATTATTATTCTTCAGTATGATCTTGCAAATACTGCTAAGGCCTGATTATTACTTTTTAAATCAATAATTGTGCCCTTTAAGAAATGTATTTTCAGGGCGCCTGGGTGGCTCAGTCAGTTAACTATCTGATTTCGGCTCAGGTTGTGATCTTGGGGTCCTGGGGTAGAGTCCCATGTCTAGCTCCTTGCTCAGCGGGGAGGATGTTTATCCCTCTCCCACTACCCCTCCTCCCCACTCACGTGTGTGTGTATGTGTGTGTGTGTACACGCGCACATGCTCTCTCTCACATAAATAAATAAAATCTTAAAAAAAGAAATGTATTTTCATTATGTTTCAATGAAAGGAAAAAACTAACAATAAAATTCAGGGAAGAAACCAATTTCATCAAATTAAGTCAAATATGTGGCAGGTAGGAAAGTTCTCAAGATCTTTAGTCAAGTCTAGGTTTTTATAATAGAATCTTATTCAGGTTTTACTCATTCATGATGTTTTTTTTCATTCACAATTTTGACATGAGTCAAGGGGAAATGCAACTTTGTACTATCAAAAGACTTTTTAAGCAAACAACAGAGTAGGACTTAACTTCTTAAGAGAAAAAAAACAGCTACAATTTTATAATGTTCTTTTTTTCAAGATAACTAGTGTGAATGGGACAGGAAGTGTGATACACTGCACAGGAATTACGCAAAGACAAACCCTCCTTAACAGTGTAAGGCTTTGTTAATTTGGTTAAAGTTACATGAATAAGATTTCTTAAAAATAAATACAAGCAGAGCTTATTTCCTTGTTATTCTAAGTTGGCAATTCTTAAAGACATTTGTGAAAGAACAAAAATCCAATTAAGGATCTTTTCAAATAAAGGATAAGACCTTAAGAAAATGGTCTATGTTTCCACTAAATTCCTTGTTCTGCTGCCACTTATGAAGCCTAAGTTAGAAAAATGGCCAAGCCCAGTCCAACTGACATAATTTTAAAGCTGAAAGAACACCAGAGATGACCCAGTGTACGTTCCACATAAAGAAGAGGAAACAGGCTCAGAGTGACTTACAGTGTATACAGATCAGCAGAGACAAGGCCTGTGAAACTCAACTCACAAGCTAAGACTCCTCACTAGAGAAAATAGTGCACAGTATTTGAACCAATTTTGACACCATCTTTCATTAAGGCAATGCAAGTTGCATTAAGGGGCTCAGCTGTGGCAACCCCTATGCTATTCCTGGGCTTGCATCCTGTCCTGGAACTGAAAACTAGGTCAGTATTAGGCTGTGAAGGCAGGGTCTAGATGACAGCCAAAGAGCTACAGAGGCTTCTGTCTTAGGCACCTTTTCTTGTAGCCCAAGACTGCAATGCATTTAACTAGAGAAGCAGCAGAGCAAACTACTGGGAAGGCAGTAACTGGGTATACTGTGTATCCAAGATGCAAACAAAACACACACACCTTGGCCTGGGGAGTGAAGGATGTTAAAATACATTCTGACCCCCTCCTAGAATTAATATTTGAACAAGTTTTCAGAGATCACATAGTTACCTATAGCAAGTAAAGTTTTCTGTACACACAATCCAGTGACTGAGTCTGCTTTTTCTGGCTACTACAGGTACAGGCTAGGTCCAAGCAGCAAAAGCTTTGAAACCATCATCCAAGTTTTCAAACAAGAATGAGTAAGAGGGCGCCTGGGTGGCTCAGTTGGTTAAGCGACTGCCTTCGGCTCAGGTCACGATCCTGGAGTCCCGGGATCGAGTCCCGCATCGGGCTCCCTGCTCGGCGGGGAGTCTGCTTCTCTCTCTGACCCTCCCCCCTCTCATGCTCTCTCTATCTCATTCTCTCTGTCAAATAAATAAATAAAATCTTAAAAAAAAAAAATGAGTAAGAAAACAACTGCTGCTAATACAACATACAAACATTAACATATGCCCAACGAACAGTATTTTAGATCACTAGATTCTTTGCCAAAAGCCTGTTCCCTGGTAAATAATAGTTACTGTTGTTACATCTAAACTAGTTATGCATGTCACAGCTTGCTCCTCAAAGAGAGCATTCTATAGTCTCTCAAGAATAAACACCTGCTTTATTTGACACACAAAAGTGAAGAGGTCTTGCAACATTCGCAGTGGTAGTAAAACAGAGCAGTTCAGAGCAAGCAATCACAAAATTTGGTCACCAACCAAACCAGAGTTAATCTCTCAGTTCCTGTAGATTAGAACACAATATTAAACTCACTCTTTCTGCTTGTTGACTTTTGCATCCCTTTATTTGTGGACTGAAAGAACAAGTTATCTCTGTGGGAACTCTATGCCCAGTTTATTTACCGAGTTTACTTTGGGCAAGTATGGTTCATTTTGTGTGGGGGCGTGTGTGTGAAATGAGTTAGGTTCTCAAACTAAAAACAAACAACAAAAATCCCCTCTTCACACAGCATGGTTGCATTTTCCCTTAGTAATAAGGTTCAGTGGATCCACCATGGTCCATTTGCTTCATTGTCTCCAGTACGTGTGGCTTTAACTACTGTCCAGCCAGAAGATGAGAGGGGCAAAGGGTGGGGTGGGAACCGGGAGAAGGAACGCTCCGGAATCCCTCAACAGTCGCTGTGTGACCCTCACCTTGACTTCGGGCGGTTTGCGGAGACCCACTCCTTTCTTGCCGCCGCTCTTTAGTCTGTTTCCGGGGGCTACATACATCACCCATCGGGGCCCTCCATCAGCGGTCTCGCTCCAGCAGGGCAGGGGGGCTGTCTCCTGGCTTACATCGGGGGTAAAGGCAGAGGGCCCGAGTCCACCCGCGCCTCCACGCTGGCCCCTTCGTCCCGGCAGGAAGCGCCGGTCTCGGGCTCCTCGCCAGAGGCCAGCCGGGGCGCCGCCGCACAGCGGCGCGGCCTCACCTGCGGCTCCCCGGGAAGCCGGGCGCCGCTCTCCCCCGCCCTCCCGCCCCCGCCAGTCTTCGAAGTCGAGATGCCGGGACCCACACAGCAATGGCGCAGCCGGAAACCGGCCCCTCGACTTCCTCAGGCCCACTCGGGGCTGGGGCCGGCCTGTGGGCGGGACGGGAAAGCCGCGGCTTCCGCCTTCCTGCTTCCGGCCTGGAGGTGAGTTGGGAGTAGGGGTCTGAGCCCCCGTTCCCGGCCGTGACGTAGGGTGGGCTGGTGGCGGCCGCTGGGGTGGGTCTGCCCGCGTGCCCAGAGGAGGGGCCACGGCGCCGGGCGGATCGAGCTGTGGCGGGATCAAGCCTGGATTCCCGGGAACCGCCCGCCGAGGCCGAGGGGCGCCTGAACGTGGCCCCCGGGGGCGGACGGCCGGATGGGCTAGGAAAGCAGGAATGAGCAAGGGCGAAAACAGGGATGGACGGGACGTGCTGATGGCGGTGAAGCACCATCCGCTGCAGCTCCAGGAGCCGCGCAGGTCTGGTTTGGAGATCAAGCCCGGTCGACCCGTTACGGAAAGAAGAAGGGTAATACGGATTCCTCCAGGTGTGGAGACACGGGCCTTTGGGTCCGAAATTGAAGTGCACGGGAGCTGTGTGGCCTGTGGACGATAACTTTTTTGCGTTAATGAAAAACTCAGCCACAAACCGGATCCTTCGCTTCCGCGTTACTCTTTTTTGCAAAGTTTTTTTCGCTTATCACTGAATTTTGCCTTAGTTAATTCATTACCGTGCTAGAGAAGCTGAAGGGACAGATGGGATCTCTGTGTGGTCCTAAGAATTCAAGGGCAGGGGGCGGAGGCTAGACTAATAATATACTACTAGAGGCGCTTTAACTAATGTTTTCTGTTGAAAATACGAAGAGGCCGGTGGAAGGATATTAAAGCCAGTGGTAGTTTCCTTGAAGTGATGGGATTGTGGGTGATTTACATTTTGTTTTGGTTTTCTGTAAAGAACACGAATTGTATCATAGGGAGACCAAAAAACCTTTAAAGAATAAAGTGAGATGTTTGATTTTGTAATTACATACCTAACCCTATAAATTAATATTTTTAGCATTAAAAGCTCAAAACCTAGGAATGGATGTGCTGTAACTTATCAGTGAACTAATTTGTCTTTTTATATATCCGTGAGCTTCATAATTTTATTTTGGAAGTAATTTAGTAAAATACTTGTAATTACTCCAGTAGGATTTTCTTAGCATTTGCAATTGTAGTAATGATTTCTTTCTTCAAATTAGGAAGAGATAGATATTAAATGTCTATAATATGCCAGGCAGTTTTACAGGTTGCATATATACGATTTCGAAATAGTCCATTTGAAAGTGTCTTAAAGTTATCCTGAATGTTGTGACTTAAACTTTTTTTTTTTTTATCTGTTCTTTTCAACCCACCCAGTATATAAAATTTAAACCTTCTCTCACAAGTGTATGGTAGAGCTAAAGAAGAAGACAAACAAGTAAGGGTCATCTGAAATTGTAATTGGCTCACTAATAATCCCAGGACTAAGTTGGAAAGAAGTACTCAAGCATAAGGTAGATGACTTTTTAAATTCCCGCTGAAATTGTGGATGTATGTACACCCATTCCTACCCAAGTATTCTTAATTTTCACCTTTGAATAGAGGTTGACACAAACACTGAAAGGTTGAAAAGCCTCTGGGCAAAACAGAAAATGTCACTCAGATCCACACCATTCTTATTTACCAGATTGCCCTCCCATACCAACTCAAAGTGGAACAAAATGCATGGCACCTGTTATGGGTAATTTTCTCATTTATTAAATTATGTCCTCAAGTAGGAGTCTTCAGAGCTGAAAGAGGGCATAAAATAGCATGTCACTTTTTTGCTTATATTTCTTTGCATATGAATATGGATATTTCATGCTTCCCATACTCTCTCCTTTTCATTCCTGGAAACAGCTCTCCATTACCTTCCTTTCTCCAAGCATTTCATGTACTCTGTGGCTTGTCCTTTTCAAACACCAAATTTGATGAATCATACTTTTGTTAATTGTACTTAATACTAAGGATGTGTCAAAAAATAACAGGATTCCTCTGTTTCCTGGAAAGAGTGCTTAAGACTCGAGATTCTTATAAAAATGTCTGCTGCTAAATAAAATTTGTCTTGATTACGAAGAATGCATAGTCCCTATGACAGATTCCACATGGTTTTTAATCTTCTATACCTTTACATCTTTTAAGTGTTACCTAGTTTAATTATTTCTTCTTAACTGGAGATAGCAGTCTGTATTAAAATAGTACTAATTGATGCTTTTTAAAAATAAAAAACTAATGATAACAGAATTCTGAGTTAACTGATTGTATGATGTAACTTTTAAAAAAATTTGATTAACCACATAGTCTTTTCTTTTGTTGCCCCTCTCTTCTCTTTTTCAAAGACAACTACAAAGATGTTTGATATAAAGGCTTGGGCTGAGTATGTTGTGGAATGGGCTGCAAAGGACCCATATGGCTTCCTTACAACAGTTATCCTGGCCCTTACTCCATTGTTTCTAGCAAGTGCAGTACTGTCCTGGAAATTGGCCAAGATGATTGAGGCCAGGGAAAAGGAGCAAAAGAAGAAACAAAAACGTCAAGAAAATATTGCAAAAGCTAAACGACTAAAAAAGGATTGAAGGAATGAATGAACAGGCTATATAACCGGAGGAACATCATTTGGAAAATTATTCAGTGTTGAAAGGACCCACTAAGGTTTCTTTTCTGGTTTTTCTGGTTTTTATGTCAGTAATTTGTTGTAAACAAAGTCAGAGCACCTGTAAGAATCATGTTAGTTGTGACCTCTACTGCAGCAACTTTTAGGTTTTGGTGTAGAAGTCTATTGAGAGTTAACTGTAAATTGGCTTTTATTATGCTATAAATTCTTTATAATTGACTTAGTCATTTGCCATTTTGCAGATTGTGTTCTGAAATGAAACATCCTGTGGAGAAAAATGACTGTACATTATGAACTCTATTCAAATAACGGCTTAGAATGGGGTCCTGTTCTGGACGAAGGGAATTGAGAATGTAAAAATCACAACTGTCCAATGGTGAAAACTGTGCTTTGGCTTAAAGAGGCATATAGTATATTATTTACATCTATCATTATTGCTTATTTCTTGGCATAGAATCATTTCTGGCTTTCTCAAAGCCACATATTAACCAATGACTGTGTTCTGCATTTTTCTCATTTTAGTCTTTGAGATAATTAACAGACATTCTATATTTTTTAAAATCTCATTTTATAAGAATTCTCTTACTGGCTATTTAGAATACCACCTACCAGATAGAACAGTTTTTGTACTTATGAACCTGCCATTTTCTTAGAGATGTCTTGAGTAGAATAACACTATGATCTAAAGCTTGCAGTAAAAATGCCAAACCTTGTGGTACCTTGGAACCAGTGTATTCTTTATTGTGCTATGTAGAAATGTAAAGTAGTTAAAATGTCTTATCACATAATTTGCTCATTACATAGATGGCCACTTTTGTGTTTTTATTCATTTCTTCATTTTAATTTATCTAGTAGTGATGTTCTATACTTTCTGATCAAACAGGTTCATGTGAAAATTAAAACTTCATACTTCTCTTAAAGAATTCTTAGAAAGTAATAGTTAAGTACTATTTCATAAGTGGTAAAGGTTTAACATTTGGAAAAATTTTGTTCATCATACTAGTAATTGGGTGAAAAAGACAAATTATGTCAAAATGAGGATGTGTTAAAATTAGAAATAAAGAGCTAAAGGATATTTCCTTCAGCTAAGTAGTATAACTGGAATTTTTTACTGTTAAACATGGCTTTTATAAATGCGTAGTCTAATAATTTTATTCACTGTCAGTATATAATAGCTTATTAACGTTTTCCTCACCTCTGATAATGAATTTTAAATTACAAAAAAATTGTCCACCAGCTTTAATTTAAAAATGAAACTAGATATTGAAATAAATTTGATACTTTTTTATAAAGAGGTCCTGGGTTTTTTTTTTTTTTTAAAGGGGGGTTAATAATAAGGTAATTAAGTTAGATGTGTTACAGAAGTTAGACTTTTAAGAGGGTTTTGAGTTTCATTTCTTTTTTTTTTTTTTTAAGATTTTATTTATTTATTTGAGAGAGAATGAGAGACAGCACAAGAGGGAAGAGGGTCAGAGGGAGAAGCAGACCCCCCGCTGAGCAGGGAGCCCGATGTGGGACTCGATCCCGGGACTCCAGGATCATGACCTGAGCCGAAGGCAGTCGCTTAACCAACTGAGCCACCCAGGTGCCCCGAGTTTCATTTCTAGCCAAAAGCCTACTTAAAAAAGTTAAGGGCAATGTTTCTCAACTATGAAAACATAAGGACTCCTGAGAATGCTTATGGATTGGTCTAAACACTAGTACTTTCACTTTAGGTTGTCAGTTTCTACTTGGTGCCAGTGGAATGAACATATTGCAACTCCAGGCACTAAGATAATTCAGTGTTCCGTTCCGTTACTTTAGCGATCTAGGATATCTAGTGATCTTTTTATTGTCACTGAACGTTTTAATAGTTGAAATTATCATTGGAATTAAAACTTAAAAATATGCTTCTATGGATCTACTGGCCCTCCTGGGCCCACAGAGCACAGTTTAAGAAAAATGAGGTTAAGATATATCTAAAATGTGTTTGGGTTTCTGCAGTCAAGCTGTTCGTGAAAGGAATTTATATCCATAAATCTTGCTTATGGCCACATTTTAGAGTCAAATATTGAAGCAAAAGGTATATTCACCGTAATTCTCAGTTATTTACTAAAAGCTGTGTTTTCATTGGTTCTCTTGTTACAATTTAAAGATAGTTATTTAACTGAAATCTGTTTTTCTATCATTTCTTTTAAAGTCTAACACATGCCAGTTTTGTATTTGACATATGCCATTTGTTGTTCCTTCAGCTTTAGCTTTTTCTAACATTTATGAAGCCTTTTTATATATGCGAGATCAATAGGTTTTATAATATGTATGTCTGTATACTTATGTGTATGTGGGGGTGGGGGGATGTAAAATAGAGAGTATTGTGAGGGTTGGGATTCTTCAGAAAAATCAGAATCTCATTTACTATTAGCTATAATACTTTTTTTTTTTAAAGATTTTATTTATTTATTTGACAGAGAGAGACACAGCAAGAGAGGGAACACAAGCAGGGGGAGTGGGAGAGAGAGAAGCAAGCTTCCGGCCGAACAGGGAGCCTGATGCGGGGCTCGATCCCAGGACCCCGGGATCATGACCTGAGCGGAAGGCTAGACGCTTAATGACTGAGTCACCCAGGCGCCCCTAGCTATAATACTTTTAAAAATTGCCTTTTATGTAGTTTCTGAAATTTTGAGAACTAATATAATCAGTTACCTTTTTATGGCTGGTTTTGGAAAACACACAGGCTGTTTATAACAGACATTTTACCCAAAAAGAAAAAAAAAAGTTTGTGTGTCAGAATTTGATCCATACTATCCATGTGATAAACTTCAGCATGGTATTACTGTATGAGTTTATACTTTTTAGTATAGCATTTTTTACTTTTATTTCTTGAAATTATAGTAAGCAAGCAAAGTAAGCTTACCATGCTGTGAGCTGGAAAACCAGTGTTGAGATAAATTATAATTAGCAGGTCCTGACCCATTCCTTCTCTCCTTGTACATAATGTAAAGGGGCAAGGGGCACTTACACCTCATCTGGTATTATGTTAGAGGATGTCTGATTCCTATTCATGATTGTTTTTATGTTTGCAATTGGTTATAGCATCACTCTGATTTACTTCATATTTGGAATATATACATGTATATATACATGTAACCTCTGGTAACCCTCAAACATATTAAAACAGATTCCATGTTCAAATACCACAAGTTTGGAAAATATAAAATAGAACTTAGGATTTATTCCTAAGAGATTTCTTGAAGTCTTTTAACGTAATTTGACTATCATAGACTCTTCTCGCTTCTGTTTTTTTCCCTAAGGAACACAAACACAGTTTGAGAAAGCCTGTTCTATATAAATTCAGGTTACATTTTATTTTATTTTTGTTTTTGTGTTTTATTTTTTGTTTGGTGAGATCAGGTTACATTTTAAATAGTAAGGTTAAAGATAGCATTGAAAAGATAACATTAAAAAATATAATGGTATTGGTTCAAGGCTGATTAAATTAAGAAATGAAATAAGTGACAGCCAGAAATCAGTTCATAAAAGTAGAAATGGAAAAGAGTAATATAATAATGGGAAAATTTTTTTCCTCCATTTTTGTTGATTTCAACTTCACATATCCAAGCCATAGCTAATAGGCTAGATTTGTATGATTAAACCCATCAGGCAACAAATTTTCTGTACTTGAGCGGTCAGAAATCTGCTACATGCACATATAGCACAGGCATGGGAAATCAAGAACAATTTACTTCTGAGAAAGTATGTAAGGTATATACAACACTTTCATTACTTTGAAATGAACATTTTTACTTTTGGAATTAAAAAATTTTGCATAGGTCTGAAGTCTTGAAGAAAGATATTTTCACTTATTTTAAGGCATTTTCACAAAAAAAAACTTGTAAATGTCCAAAATATAACTATTTAAAATATGACATATGGTGGACAAACTAATACTTTATTTAATGCTTTAATTGTGCTTTGCATGTGTCTGGCATAAAAGCCAAATATAAAAAAGGTTGCTTATAAAGGTAATTTGAATTAGGCCAAAGTTATAATTCAATTTTTAGGTAGGACATTTAACTCTGTTTTGATACCATCTAACAGCGCCACTAAAAAATGTTAGTCTTGAGAAAAGGAGTGCGGATGGATTACTATAAATGTCATTTCCACTTCTTGAAATCACTGTAATACTGCATGCTCTAGGGGTATCTGGTTGGTTCAGTCAGTAGAGTGTGCGACTCTTGATATTGGGGTTGTAAGTTTGAGCCCCACATTGGATGTAGAGATTATTTAAAAATAAAATCTTTTTTTAAAAAAAGTGCGTGTTCTACTAATAATGGTGGGCCAGTATCATAATCTTACTTGAGGTATTTTTCCACAAGGACTTTTGGTTAAGATTTTCTTTTGCTGCTTCTGTAAAACAGGTATTTTAATTTAATTTATTTTACTTTATTTTTTTATGCCTCACCTACTTAGTATTTATTATCTTTAGGTTTTTATTTAAATTCCAGTTAGTTAAAATACAGTGTAACATTAGTTTCAGGTGTACACTTTAGTGATTTAACACTTCTATACATCACCCCAGTGCTCATCACAAGTGCCCTACTTAATCCCCATCACTTATTTCACCCATCCTCCCACCCTCTGGTAACCCTCAGTTTGTTCTTTATAGTTAATAAAACAATGATATTAAAATGAAAACAAAAATTAAAATGAATGTAAATTCTGTCATACATTAAGATATTTACAGACTGTAAGGCAAACATTAAAAGATATGTATAGAATACATTTATTTATTTATTTTTTAAAGATTTTATTTATTTGACAGAGAGAGACACAGCCAGAGAGGGAACACAAGCAGGGGGAGTGGGAGAGGGAGAAGCAGGCTTCCTGCTGAGCAGGGAGCCCAATGTGGGGCTCGATCCCAGGACCCTGGGATCATGACCTGAGCCGAAGGCAGATGCTTAACGACTGAGCCACCCAGGCGCCCTATAGAATACATTTAATAAGCTAATAGGTATTTGGCAGTAGAAATATTCTAGCATGTTAGAACATTTGCAATTTTTCTTATAACCCAGGACTCAAGAACATCTTAATTTACAGTCATTTGTACCTCTGTACTGCCTGGTGACTAGTTCCTTTTTTAAACTGGTAAGAACAGATACTACACTTGATCTTAGCCAAAAGGCCAAGAAGCAATGATTAGTTCCTTTTTTGCCTGCATGGTAAAATGTAATACTATTGTACCTCTGAAACAAATAATGTAATATATGTTAAGAAAAAAAAAAAGAAGAAGAAGAAGAAGAAGGTAGCGGGAGGGGAAGAATGAGGCGGGGGAAATCGGAGGGGTGGACGAACCATGAGAGACGATGGACTCTGAAAAACAAACAGGGTTCTAGAGGGGAGGGGGGTGGGAGGATGGGTTAGCCTGGTGGTGGGTATTGAGGAGGGCAGGTTCTGCATGGAGCACTGGGTGTTGTGCACAAACAATGAATCATGGAACACTTCATCTAAAACTAATGATGTAATGTATGGGGATTAACATTAGAATAAAAAAAAAAAAGTAATACTATTTTGTAATGATAGAATGGTTAAACTCATATTAGCAGGTTGCTGGAATGGCAGTATTTTCACCAAGGGGCTTTTCTGTCATTCAATAAGTATGTAATGGTAATTACATTTGATTATTTGTTTTAATATTATATTTTATAAGGTTGTATTTTTCTGTAATTTATTAAGAAATTAAAATTTTTACCTTCTATTAAGTAAAAATGTTAACCTATGTGTTTTTAGGAATTCACTGTTAAAACAGGTAACCAAGGATTTCCTGTACAGCATTAAAATTTGAATCACTTATGCAGTAAATATTTATTGAGCACCTATTATAATGCCATACACTGTGAGAAGTCTATATTAGCAACAAAAACATAGTTGTGCACTTCAGAAAATTTATGACCCTTCAAAAATACTTTTGTATAATATGAGTGTTTTAACATCACCCGTCTGTGTTTTTCATCAATATACAAGTCCCTGGAATCCCCACTGTCAGTGCAGTCACAGAGAACTATTTTTCATTTTTTCAAAGTAATTTTTTTCGTTCTTTTCTTTTTTGAGGGGTGGAGTGGAGACAGGGAGAGAGAGAGGGAGAGAGAGAATCCCAAGCAGGCTCCACTCTCACAACCCTGAGATCATGACCTGAGCCACCCAGGCGCCCCTCTCAAAATAATTTTTAATCTTAGGAACTCCAATTATTGTACCATTTCTCTGTTTACTGTCCTTTCAGACTTTTGTGATGGATTGTCTATGTCTTTTGGTTCTAATTCCTCTCTTCAAACTCCAGGTCTTCATGGCTTTTTTTCACTTATCAACTACATTTTCTTGGCCTCCACATGTTTTATCCAAGTACATGTTTTTGATTAGTCCTTTAGAATCTTACAGACTGCCTCTCCAGAAACAGCAGTCTTCTCACTTTTTTCTTTTTTTATTGGGTACTTTAGGAGAGCTCACTAATTACCCTTACCTTCTATCATGATAAACATTGGGGTTCCTAAATGATCATAAGGATCCAAAATGTACTGAGAATTTACAACTACAGAATACTTCACAAAGGAGCAATCCTAAGAGGGAAAACCTAAGCAAATTCATAAACAGAATGACGACTAAAGCAAATGAAGGAGTTAAACCTAAAAGAAGTTAGGTTTTGGGGTGCCTGGCTGGCTCAGTTGGTACAGCATGCGACTCTTGATCTCGGGGTTGTAGGTTCAAGCCCCACGTTGGGTGTAGAGATTACTTAAAAATCTTTTTTTTTAAAGATTTTATTTATTTGAGAGAGTGAGCAAGAGAGAGAAGAGGCAGGGGGCGAGGCAGAA